GGGCAGCGGCCGTGGGAGAGGCCAGGCTCTGGAGCGATGGCAGGTCCGCGAGGCAGCCCCCTCCCGCCACTGCCCCTACCTGATAGGAGCCTGATAAGGCCCTTGTGCGTCAGAGCCCGGCAGCTGACGTGCGAGCTCGGCTCCCAGGAGGGGCCGGGGGTCAGGCGGGGTTCACAGGAGGGGCCGTGTCTCCCAGCCCTTTGCTGGTGAGATGCCAGCCCACATCCGCAGCTGGGGAAACCGAGGAATGGGAGCCGCTTTAGAGAAGCTCAGGGTCAGAGAACCCAGAGAGAGCAATGAGATGTAGGGGTTACCCAGCCGCGGGCATTCAGGGGGGTGGAGCCCGGTGGGGAAACTGAGGCCCAGGGCACTCCATGGAGAACCTAGAGAGGAACTCAGAGACACAAGCCACCGCCCAGTCTGAGATGTTCAGGGAGGGGGCCAGATGGAGCGCCCAGCAAAGGGGGCCAAGGGAAGGAACCCCGAGAGGAAACTGAGGCACAGGGAGGGCTCTCCAGTCCCGGTGCCCACGTCCCTGCTCCTGGGAATCCCTGAGGCAGGGGTGGATCGCTGACCAGCTGAACCGAGAGGAGGTGGCGGAGAGAGAGAGGTGGGGGCCGGGCGTGGAGGGAGGGCCACTGGGCTGGAGGCAGCCTTGGTTAGGAGCTTGTGCGCTGAGCCCTGTGGACCTGCGCTTGGATCCTGGCTGCCAGGTGGGCGGTGGAGGCTTGAGGTCTGGGTGCCCTGGTCTGTCTGCAGCGAGAGCTGCTGAGCTCCATCCCTGCTGGCGGCTGAGCACCGTGTGTCCCCCGCCCAGGGGAACCCGCTGCAATGAAAGGCCAGAGAGGCTCTGGGTGAGCCTGGGCTGCCTGCACCTCGCGTGCCTCTTAGTTCCTCCTCTGCCCCAGGGGGTATATGTTAATGCTCTTCCTGACTCATAGGGCAGAGGCACTGAGTGCCACAGAGGGGCCGGGGCTTGCCAGGGCCCCACAGCCAGCAGGTGGGGAAGCAGGTGTGACTCCCCCGCACAGCAGGAACCTGGGTTCTGAGCCATTGCTCTGCCTGACTCCCCCAGCTGCGGGCCCCCAGCTGCGGGCCCCCAGCAAGGAGCACCCTGCCTTCGATTCCACCACCTGCCCCCTCCCCAACGCTGCAGCTGTGTCCAGGGGGGCGCTGCTTGGAGCCCCTCCATCCTCCTCAGCCGCCCCCAGTCAGCACAGCCCCGCAACCCACGGAGGCCGAGGGCTCGCTGCTGTGCGAATGCGGCACCTGGACAAGCCCCTGCCTCCCTCTCTGAGATGTCCTCCCTGAGCCCCGAGAAGAGAGACCCCGGAAGCGTTGGGGCAGTGAAACCAGGAGGGGGGCCTGGAGGCTGATGGAGGCTGGTGAGGCCGCGAGGGAGCGCCATCTGCCCCTCCAGGGAGGGAGTTGAGTCACGCGTGGTTCCCATGCCACCCTCCTCCCCATGTTCCTGGGCCAAGGCCACGCCCTCGAGCAAGGGTAGGGAGTCACTAAGCCCCAGTTGGGGATCTGGCCATCCTGCCTCAGTTTCCCTAGCTGTTGGCTCCCTTCTCCACAGGGGCTCTCCTCAGAGCGTGCTGGGATCTCCCCGCCCGCGGGGACTCAGCTAGGGCGTGTTCTCGTCCCTCTCCTAAGGAAAAGGCTGGATTCTTCCTGAAGCCTCCCCAGATTCTAGGGCGTCTGGACTTGGCGTAAGAGGAAGACTCAGCGGGTGACTTTAGAGTTACTGCTATCACTGATAACAGTAGCTGTGCCCTGGCTGGTGGCTCAGTGGTTAGAGCACCGACCTGTGCACTGAAGGGTCGAGGGTTTGACTCCTGGTCAAGGGCACAGGGTTGCAGGTTCGATCCCCGGCCCCAGTCTGGGCACATGTGGGGAAGCAATCAGTCGATGTGTCTCTCTCACATCAATGTTTCTCCCCCCCCCCAACACACACACTCTTTCTAAAAATCAATGGGAAAAACATCCTCCGGTGAGGATTAACAACAACAAAAATAATAAAAATAATCGCTGTACGTCACCGAGGCTGATAGGGACCGGGTTCTGCGCTTAGCGTTTCCTAGGCTTCTGCTAGCACTTCTACTTTACAAATGGGGAAACTGAGGCCCAGAGTGGCAAAGTCACTTGCCTAAGGTCACGTGGCCGGGATCTGAAGCCTGACCGCTCCCACGCCCACACCAGGCTGGGCAGGCCGTGGCCGCGGGGCCTGCTTCCCCCCCTCCCCACCCGCCC